GCCAATCACCTGACCTGAATCCAACAGAAAATCTATGGAAAGAACTAAAGATCAGAGTTCATAGAATATTTTTTTCCCTGTGCCATTCCACATTATTACAAATAACTTTATTTCTGGACATTTATGGTTTGATTTCTTTGTATGTATGGATCACTTGGGTTGTTACCACATCTGGTGAAAATTTCATGTCATTAGCACCTCTAGTAATATATTTACTGAGAAAAATGATGACGTGTTCAATACTTATTTTACACGCTGTATTTTTATATGCTCTGATTGTGGTTTATTGTGACGTTTTATTGTGAAGCACTTAGTGGCTGCTTGACTGGAAGGCGCTATACAAATAAAGTTAGGGTAAAAGGTACAGATTAGAAAGGCAGTGGGGAAAAGAAGACATATACTGCATCTGATATCGTTATCGCAATAATTACAGTTATTTTCTAATATACCTATGACTGCACTTTCATCTCTTGTGATACGGTGAAATAAATATTCTTGAGGTATATTTTTCTCTTGTTTTTACAGAAACTCTTATCTAACATGGAAGATTTCTTGTTTTAAGAGTGTTTTATAAACTTGTCTATACATGCACAAATACAACCTAAATTACCTAAAAGGTATAATATGACAGAAGTAAAGTGGCATAAAAGGACTTTTATGCAACTTCACAAAATTCAGTGTCAGCACAATGATGCTGAAGATTTTAACCTGTAAAACTTCAGATTGTATACTTCAGCCATCATCTACTTTCACTGATTGTACCATTACAAAAGATCTGTAAGTGTGTATTCACACCTGACACATTTGGTCCGCTTTAAACGGACCAGAGTTTGTTTCCCCCGTTGGTCCGGACCTTTTATGTAGGTGTGAATACACTCATGGAGACCAAACAACCGGGCTGAATCCCATTTTTGATATGGTCTCAGTCCGTTTCCAGTCCGTTTCACTGGTGTGGTTTATTTCTGGTGTGAATACAGACCAGCCTCAAAACGAACCAACAACAGGAAACACATGCCTTTTTGGACTCATGAGCCACCGTTGCAAAGCAGTAGGGTTTTTTATAAAAATTTCAAAGTTGTTTAGAGCTGTTTTTTCCCCTAAATTTAAAGGCTCTATGTACCGAATCCAACAAAAGGGATCCCTGATTAGTTGTAACATTCGACTTTATTTGATAAACATATATTTTAACTGTAAAATAAAGAATGTAAAAATACTGTAGGCTGTTTRGTTTTGTAAATTTTTAAAAATATATTTTAACACAGACAGAGCCATTTTATTTACACACAAAGCATTCTGGGTAAATGATGACGTGGATAGGTCCTCGGTGCGAGGCTGCTAGTGAGCTATATCCACCCTGAAGGTTAATCTTGGACAATATCTGATGATCGACTCTTTTAAATGAAACCAGAGAGCGTTGACAGAGAGGAGAAGGTAGAAATGACTCAGCCTGGAACTGAAAATATGGATGGAGGACAACAGAGCTGCTTCATGGAAGAAGAACCTCAGTTTAGTCTGTTAGCCTTTGCGCTAGCGCCAATGCTATATTGTCATATACAGTATATATTAGCTTGGTGCTAGCGCAACAAAAAAGCTAAACTGAGGTCCTCCATCCATATTCAGTTCCAGGCTGAGTCATTTCTACCTTCTCCTCTCTGTCAACGCTCTCTGGTTTCATTTAAAAGAGTCGATCATCAGATATTGTCCAAGATTAACCTTCAGGGTGGATATAGCTCGCTAGCAGCCTCACACCGAGGACCAATCCACGTCATCATTTACCCAGAATGCTTTGTGTGTAAATAAAACTGCCCCGTCTGTGTAATATATTTTTAAACTTTTAGTTTAAAAATGATAAAAACTAAACATCCTACAGTACTTTTTACAGTCTTTATTTTACAGTTGAAATATATATTTATTAAATAATTCTAATGTTGCAACTAACCAGGGATCCCTTTAAAATTGGACCACCCATTAGGGAGAGGTCATCAAACTGAAAATTAGGAAGCAAGTCTGGCATTACGCTACTTGCATAACGCCATTTAAAAAAAAAAACTGCAGAGCCCCGCAGATATAGAGCGCTCTACTATGTCTCAACAGTTTTTTAAAACAAAGCAGAAAACAAACGTACATTGAACAAAAATATAAACTCGTGTGTTTTTGCTCCATTTGTTCAAAGACACACCTGTAATAACCATGCTGTCTAATCAGCATCGTGATACGCCACAGCTGTGAGGTGGGACGGATTCTCTCTGCAAAGAAGTGCTCACTATTATCTTTACACACACTCCTGAACAATGTTTGAATGAAGGTTTATTGTGTACAAAGAGTCTTAGATCTTTGAGCTCAGCTCATGGAAAATGGGAGTAAAAACCAAAGTGTTACATTTTTTATTCAGTGTACGTAAAACATTTGGATAGATTTTAAAATGATACGGGGGCTCTGTGTTCAGATACCTGTTTATACCAGGTCTGAATGAGGTCTTGATAAAAACAAAAAGATGTTTTGTCATTACTTATATACTGAGACTACGCCTGGCAGGAGCAGTCTGTTAACTTACCTGTTAGACAGTGGTGAAGTATGTCCATCGTAACTGGACCTTATCTACCACCTCCCCCTTCACACACATATAGAGTCTCTCTTTTTTTGAAAAAAAATTATACATTTTCGGTTAAAACTGAACAATTTATAAAACAAAACAAAAAAATGAATTTACAAGAAAATGAAAGGAAGCAGAAAGAAGAAATAAATCTTATATAATCTGCTCCTTTTTAAACAAAAACAAACCATAAAAAATAAAATACATTAAAACATAATAATCTCTAAATAACAGAACTAACCAAAACTGGCTCCATATCAAGACAACCAATCCTATAAGGATAAATTAAACCGTTTCATATTTTTTCAGTAAATTAATTTTTTTCTTTTTCTTAAAAACATTGAGGAAGCATTTTTACAATCGTTATCCAAAACATTCCACAGTTTTACTCCGTGAACAGACAGACGTACATCTTTCTTTAAGCTGCAACACTCAAACAATTTTGTGTCAAACTGACGGCACAGCCTGCTGATGTTTCTACACAGAGAGCAGTGAATTTCCTCTAACACATCTTGTTTTCATCAGATACAAAGGTTCAACAGGAAGTAAAAGTATTCCAGTATTACTACTTGTTACCTGTATTTTTAATCCTAGTATTGGAGTGAGAAAATGTTTTTTTTATTGATCGCTGCTGCTGTTTTTAAAATTAGTGCATTTTGAATGTGCACACTTCTTACTGACGTGTTTCTCCATGTTCCAGATGAGGAAGAATGATCAGATTAAAGGGATGTCTGCTGATGAGTGAAGAGTGATGATGTGGTGAGTATTGTAATGTTGTTTTTATTCATTCAAAAATAACTTTTGTTCATTGTACCTCTTTTTCCCCTCGTTTAGACCCATCTGATGCTGGACGACAGGCTCCGACTCCTCATCAGGCTGCATCTCCAACAGCTTCTTAGGCATAATCAAGAATACCTTCCTTACATCTTAATAAAGATTTGCTCTTAATAAGAGTTTGATGTTGTCAAGCAATTGTGCATATTTATATGTACCGCATTAAATAGCTGTTTTTGCAGGGTTTTTGAAGATGCAAGATCTTTTAGAATTAAATATTCTTGTTTATGCCTATTGTCCAATATCAGGGGAGGTGTGTGGGTTATCTCTAAAAGAACATTTCCAGTTACTGTACTTTTTTTTTCACTTTCATTTAGTTTCTCTTTTTGCTTTGTTTTCCATTTCTCAGTGAATGATTTACAACCACGTCAAGGAAAAATTTTTATCTGTTCTGTATGTGAAAATCTTAAGAGTTTAAATGATTTTTTTGTTTTGTTTTGTTACCACATGCTGTTATTTCTGTTGAGTCAAAGTGATTTTTTTAATTTTATTTATTCATCATGACAGCTTGAGGCAGTAAAAC